ACTACTAGTAAGGCACTTGTTTCTAGTAGCGTGGCACTTGTTACTACACGCCAGATCTTGCTTTCGGTGCCTCCGGTGCTTCTTCCTCCGCCGCCTTTGCCAGGCGTGCCAAGGCTGGCCTCGGTGGCTGCGGCAGCTTGGAGCAGAACCGGAGTTGACATGGAGGAGTGACATCTTCAGTTCCAGATCGAAACTGATCAAGGGTTTTTTTGCAACTCAAGTGCACCATGACTGGCTGTCATCCATGTTCAAGCGTGGACCGTGCAATTCACAAATGATGCCGTAAGAAGTAAAGAGTCATCAATCCAGTATAGTTGTTTGTAATTCCTGCTGGATGGCTATTCAAGGGTAGCCGGTCCAAAAACCACGCCAACTTCGAACTGCTTGTATACTGTATACTCCAACTCACCAAAGTGGGCAATCGCACTGGCAATGGGCGCCCCTAAAACAAGACTACTTTCCTGTACCAAAGTGGATGGCTCCTTCCAACTTCAGAACCTGGTCGGAGCGTTCTGACTCTCAGCCGACCCAAAAAAACACTTCGACCAAAGGGCTTCTGGAGAGTGCCATTCGCTGAGAAGGGCACCTGTGAGATGGGCACCGTTGGGGACGTGTGAGGTTGGGACGTGAATAGTACAAGACATCATCGGGGCTCCGTTTGGGGCTCCAACTACCTACCTCTGAGAATCAGTCCAGTGCTCAGTTCAGAGGGAACTCCAGGGGGGAGGTGACACTGGTGAAACGATCTTCTTAGGATACAGTTGGAAGAGTTAGAACTATCCATGGGATCCATGGTTCTTTATTCTGAGAGGGACCCTACTGGACCCTGCATGTTTTTGTGAACTCCAACATTGGCAAGACCCCCGTACAATTGCCCTGAACAAACAAAACAACTCAAAGACCAACATGCTTCAGCAATTCAAGTACAGTACGTATGTCTCAATGAAGATCTTTGCGCCCAAGGCCCTGAACATAGCCCCACTGCTCATGAGCGCATCCAAAAAAAGAGAATTCACATGGATTCACCGAAAAGGGACCCTTGGTTGCTCGCAGCGAACCTCCCGAAAACGCCCACGCCCGGCTGCCTCCGTTTCGCCCACGCTGCTGATCCGAAGCACCTCGGTACGCCCGGGGTGGCGGCTGAACCGCCGAAGGTGGTGGCCATGCCGGTCTGTTGACGAAAACGTCTTGGCGAAGACAGAGACACCTGAGCTTTCGGAACAAGCTCATGGCGGCACCAAAGCATGAGGCCGTGTCAGCGACGCGTCTGAGGCCATTTCACCGGCCTGTCTGTGGCAAGCTGCTCGTAACAACAAAAACCACTGAGTACGTCGTCTCATCTTCCAAGCGGCCCAAAATTGACTCCGTCGCAAAGCACTGAACCCTCCCACCACCGGCTCTCCACCACCCAGGAACTCCTTCCATATGAATCTTCAGAGGAGGGAACCCGTCCTCCACCTTTCTTTCGGTTTCGCGCTCCGGCTCCCGGCTCGACGAGCTCCGCAGAAGAACACCCCCGCTCAGGACCCCCGCGAAGAGCCGCGCGGCCTCGTGTCCATGCGCTCCGGAGGCTGCTGGAGTGGGTCCTAAGGAACGACAATCCTCCCAGAAGCTCAGCCAGCTGTGGAGCGCCTCCTGCAGAACCGGCGCCGGGACCCGGAAGAACGGAGTGGAGAGCGCGCGGTGCGCAAATGGGGCCCAAAAGATGAACAGAGTGCAGGACCTGCAGGACCTGCATTGAGGTGGTTTCAGGAGTACCATGCGTGGAGCATTTGGACCAGGAAGGAATAGATTCGAGAGAATCCTCCCATGTGTTGGAAGCCATTTCTTGGGTTTGCAGCTGCTGGGAGACAGAAAGAAAGAATTATAATAACTAGACCGACTAGACTATGCAAGCTATATCGTGGATGGTCTAGCTAGCTTGAAGATTGTGGATATATAGTGGAGACAACACAAGCGCCTGCTACGAGGGACCACAAAAGCAAAGGATCTGCGGATTTCTTGCTTCTGATCCAAATGTCACAAATGAGTGCAGAAGACAGGATCCTTCACGGATCCGCCCTTCGCGGTTGAACTTCTCCAAACCCTTGACAAAGAGCCTGCAGTTGATGCCGTACAATTGATGTTCTCGAATGTGTTTTGCAGATCAAATGAGGATGATCCCAACTCTCCTTCATGATGAACAAAATGCTCCTGCTCCGAGTACCATCCATCTCACATTGGAAGTTTGGTGAGGTGTCCGCATCATTCGGCACCTTGCTACACGTCAAGCCACGGGGAACGGATTGCCACGAGATGTGCCCCTTCCTCATCTTGCAGGGATGCATCAAGTCGTGGAAGAGTACAAAGTCAGTCCCCCCAAAAGGTTACGCAGAACCATCAGAGCCCTTCACAAATGAATAATATTGTCCAATAACTACCAGGCAATCAAACGAATTCACAATGGAGTGTTCATCTGTTGTGGGAAAGTGCTGTTTGTCCTTCCCAAGTAGAATGGCTCGAACACACCTGACCTGACCACTTATTTGCTTCAGGATTTGTCCAACAAAAACAAACATAAAAAAACATGGACCCTGACTGTATGATGATGTGCTTTGCCCAGCCACTCCAGGCCACTCCAGCCCGCTCCCCGCTCGCTCCTCCAAGTCCTGTGGCTTCATCTGCGCCGGGCGCCGCGCGTTCGGCGGCGGTCGCCGCGCCGGCGGAGGCAAACTGCTGAGCGGAGGCCCTGCGGGGGGCGCCGGAGGGGCAGGTGCCACGGCAGCCGTTGGTGCCGTTGCTGGCGCCGGTGCAGATGCCGCGGGGGCTGGGGCATTGGGGAAGGTGGAGGTGGGTGGTGGCAAGGCTGTTGGAGCTGGTAGGGAAGGTGGTGGGAGTAAGTTGGGAGCTGGCAATGTGGCAGATGGTGGTGGCAAGTTAGTGGTTGGTGGTGGTAAAGCTGGAGCTGGCAATGTCGCGGCAGGCGGCGGTACTTGTGGCCCTGCCTTTGCAAGGTTCGCATCTGGTGGATTGGGAGCTTCCGGTGCTGGAGGACCTGGTGGTGGACTTGGAGCTTTCGGCTTGGAGCTAAAGAGTGAGCTGAACCATCCAGGCTTAGAAGCCTTCGGTGGTGGCGGCGGCCCTGGAGGGGGAGGATCTGGCGGTGGATCCTGCGGCTCTTCAGGAATCGAAGGCCCTGAGGTCCATGAGCCCATGGGTGGAGGAGGCTCAGCTGGAGGAGGCAGTGGTGGCGCATCGGGAGCCCCTGGGGCCCCTGGGGGCGGTGGCCCAGGTGGGGGGGGGCGCCGTGGGCTTTCCACCAAAGATCTTGCTCAACATGGCGGAGATTTGGCCAATCCGAAGAAAAATAGGGCAGAATCTTCCGTGGTCAAACTGGTCACTGGTCCGTTATTGGGACTTTTGGTCAGGTCCAGCATCAGTTCTTTATTGCACGCCCTGACAGGCATACCATTGTGAAGTCTTCTATATACATTGCACCTATTGTACTTTTTTGGGGGGTATTGTATCTTGGATCAGCGGATCAGCGTCAAACTAAACCGACCGATCTTGCTTGGTACGACTTGTTCCCCACAATAGACGCGATGTGTGGAATCAAGTGCTTCTGGGCAAATTACAGGCTCCTCCAAAGTATGGCTTCCGCGCATGAGCGTGTATTTTTATAGGGAGACCCGCTGGCCCTGGCTGGGTAGACTGGTCATGACTGGTCTATGTCTATTGCCCTTCTGGAAGAGGCCTGGGAGGTCTCCCTAATACACACCCGTCACGTTTCGTGAACTTGTGGTTCTTCTCCCCTGGACCCGCCAATCGATTGATGGACCATGATGGACCCGATCCTTACGGTAAAAAACAAGGGCGCTAAATTTTACACGCCATTTTAAACCAACCCTCAGTAAACCACCACTTCCTCTTAACGGTATGATTCGGATCCGCGTCTGAAACTGCTCTTTCTGCCTGGTGTTTTTTCTTCGGATCACCCGAGACGCGCCGCGGAGAGCAGGATGGAATGAGGATGACACCTGAGCGGATGGAGTAAGGACTTCTTGTCGAAGAGGCGACCGCTGGAAGCAAAAATCACCGACTCCCTCGGAATGAAAAAAGGAGAAACCACCTTTTTCATGCATGTGTCCTATCTTTGTTCTTGGTTCAATTAGAGGGAAAACCAATCCCCCACAAATTAAACGTTATCCACTGACTGGGCAAGACAAGGCAAAGAAGATTCCACTGGATTCCCATCAGATGCCAATCCTCCAAGGGGTTGTTTCACGGATTTTATCCTTTTTCGTTGTGGCGCCGGATGTTCATTGAAACTCAATCTTCCACTATCTTCCACTTCTGCAGAGATCGGGTGCCAGTCAGGTACCAGTACCTGAAGACCTTCAACTGGAAGATGGAGCGGAATGGCCCAGCCCCCGGCCGCAGAGTCAGACCTTCACAACCCCCCGAGTACTCAGGACCTCGGTCGACCCGACGTCGACCTGGCCTCACACACATGGCGATAACATCCGGCAAGGCAGCTGGTTTGTTCTGAGATCCGTGTTGAACACCGAAGCTGTTGTTTTGATGGAAAGCACCTGTTTGAGCACCTGTCCGAGGCGTTTGTTTCATCCTCCCACCTTCTTCATTCGGTCTTTTGGCATCACTAGGTTTCTTGGTGAATTCGAAAGCAGTGGTGCGAAAGATTGAAATCGTTGGTCGCCCAGATCGGCTTGGGAGTTCAGATTGGCCCCCTGCCATGGGCTGAGGTGAAGATCTTGTTAGGCTGATCCCCTGGAGTGTCTCAATGACGTGCCGCGGCTTGTCTTGAGCATTGAAAGTCCAGTTTGTTCGCGGCTGATAGAGATTCTACAACTCAAATAGAGCAGGGCATTCCTTGTGTCATCTTCCTTCTCATGTTTTTTTTCATGACTAAGCTTGAACCTGCCAGCGAGGCCAAAGAAAATCCAAAAAGAAAACCTCCCGCCGGCAGCTCTCGGGGTCTGGGTCCATGATTGAGGATCAAAAGATGGTAGGGAGGCTCAACGACCAGGTCAGTGCCCCTTTCTTCATCAAAGGCTCTCTCGCATCAATGATGATCCATGGAATATACATGGAACAATACGGAACAACCATATCAACCTGTGTGAAAAGAAACGAACTTGGAACTGTCTTACGTCTACATTGCTACATCCTGCACACGTCGCTGAAGAGGCTTTGGTATTAGTGAATGAAATACAATGTTGGACCATAGTATGGACCATAGAAACAAAACATCCGTGTCAATGGACTTTGCTCCTGAAGTCCTTGAGCCATCAAAAAAAACATAGTTTTTGAATAGGGAGACCTCGAGCACCCACATGTGAATCCTGAATAAGCTTCTTAGAATCATTCGGGGGTTGCCTGCTTTCAGACCCAACCTACATCTGAATTGTACGGACAAAGGCGCGGATTCACCCCAAGGTGGGACGACGTTTTGGGAAGTCTGAAGGAGGTCATGATGCAAGATCCTCTGCCATTGCAACCTGCAAGAGGATAACATGTGGAGTGAAGCCACCATGACCAACGGCTTCATAACTCCCAGGCCTAAAAAGCACGTCGATTTGCCCGGAAAAAAAAAAACAGAAAGATGCCGAAAAACCGCATTCAACTGCCACAACCGCCTTCCCACAAGAAGGCCACAAACAAAAAACACCGTACAGTCAGTTAGATGCTGCACAGTCAACAAACAACGCCACAACCAACTACCCCTCTGGCAGCGCCACCGCTGCCCACTGCTACCCGCCTGGGCCCTTAGTGCAGCCTCCGCTCGGTCGATGGTACTCTGCCTCGGGGATCGCTCCGCGAAAAGAGCATCACTTGGCCCGGTCGGAGATTGGACGAAATCTTTTCGGGGCAGTTCGGAATACAAATCAACCGCCTACAATCATCAGCTGATCTCTGCTCGGATTCTGAGTGAGGACTTGACCCCAACTGTCCAGTGGTGGACGATGAACTGGACCGTTGCTATGCTGACCACAGGGGCTCTGGATTGAGCCCTGCGACCCGTTGCTTCGCTCGTGGTGACTCTGGCGAAAGAAAGCTGGAAGAACTCCATCAAAGCTCGATTCACAAGCTGGACAGAAAGTTCTTCCTTCAGACACATCGTTCCATGCCCTGAATTGTCTGTTTGGCTTGTTTGGAAATCACACACAATAGAAAACATTGAGTGGTTGGTCGTTGCTCTAGGCTCACGTTCTTCACCAAGGACCAAAACCTGTTGACGCTTGCGACGCCCAGCGGCAAAAGCTGACGCCCTCGATCCTCAGTGGTGCCTCGGCACAACACGAAGAAAGCACGGTGAAAACCGGAAAAGTCTCGGATGAGTCGAAGGATTGATCAAAATGTTTGACAGGTACATACGGTATAACTTTATTTGTTGTTTTAGTTTAGGGACTTAATGTGTTTCTGGTTCAGCTAGACAGTCTTGATTTTGTATCCAAAACGTCCGAACTAAGGATTTAGAAAGTTTGACGGGCGCAGGTTCAGTTTTACCACTGCTGCTAACATTCCCTGAAAAAGGTTGCATTGACTCAAATTTGAGAAAAGACACTTGTGGAATCTTGTGGATGCAACATAAACATACAGGCTTTTTGATCAATCATTAGAACCACACTCAATGAGACCCTTGGCTCCCTCCATCTACCTGCTACAGTATGCTACAGTATCCTTTGTGAGTGTGGTGGTCAAACCCAACTCAGCAAAAGAACACAAAAGAACCGTGGAGTCCGCAACATCACCGTTCCGTTCAGCAAGCCACGCCCCTCGTCCCCCCCACAGCCCTGCGTCGAAGGTGCCACTCGCGAGGGAGCTTTGAATCTCCTGCAGGTTCCGATGGAGGCTCAGGATGATGTTACCCACCGCCTCGGCACCGTGCGGACGGTCCGGCGTTGGGTGAACCGCCTCACCAGAGCATCGGCAAAGCACCAAGCACTCCAGGCTCCCAACCACACCCTAATATACACGAGTCACAGCATAAACCTCAATACAGTAATTGAAGATGACAATCAACAGCAAACATGCTACTACAGGATCTACAAATGGCTGCCGGGTGGTGGGGCCAGATTGACCGACCGTCTGACAACCTCTCATCAACCGACGATGTGGGGGACCTGTATCAACACGTCACAGCAATCTTGAAACCAATTCTTCTATGAATTGTGTTGTAGTGATTGCAATTGGATTCAAACGATCTTTCCACTACTAGTTCGACATTGTTTCCATCCATACAGCAGCACACCTTCCTTCCAACAACGCAAGTGGAAGACTCGCCTTTGCTCACTCAAGTCTCATCCGATCTCACCTCTAAAAACCCGTTGAGGTTGCCCTCCCCTCAATCGAGTCTTGCGTGGTTCAACGAGTTTGACAAAGACCCACCTCCATGTCGGGTCTCACCACGACCTCCGCGCACAGAAAAAGGGCGCCGAGTCGGCACGTCGATGTCGTCGACATCGAAGGAAACAATTGGATGATCCCCAACGGCGATGCCCTTGTTACTAGTATAGCTTCATTCTTGTTACTAGTCGTAGCGATGCCAATGTAGTAGCTTCTTGCTACTAGTGATGCCCTGGTTACATCTTGTTACTAGTAGCATCTATAAGCGATTTGGAAAGAGTCTTCCCGTCCAAAGCGCTCACTTTTAAGATCCACCGGCGACCGGAGACCGCTCTTCCCATCCGGACGCCTCACGAGACCATGGGTCGCGGCTTCGCCCGCGTGGCACGACGGATGTGTACGCGTAGATGTCAAGGATGGTGTGTTCATTGCTCGATGGATCTGGAGCAATGTCCTTGGGTTGAACATGTTGAGTGAATGTGGTGCAATCATGTGAATACATTGTTCTTTTCAGCTTGGAGATCAGCCCATCTGACTTCCTTCCTCGGGCGCCCACCTCATGCCTCTGGAGCACCCGGCCGCGGCACCAGGGCGATCCACCGACCCAGCGGGGGAGGCGGTGTAGTTACACAAAATAAATAAGTGTTGGTAACATAGGAGTCACAGACTATAAAAAGAATGGTCGGTCGGTGACCCGAAAAGGAACTTGGACTTCTTTCTGGGGCATCAGTTCTTTTCGAAGCATGCAATCACATGAAACCAAACAACTCCGGTGCGAGGCACAGGAATAAACAGGTTTATCATCTCTCGTGGTTCGGGGTGCCGCGCCGCTACGGTCTTGGTCTGGTCTGAGCCATCATTTAAGAAATGGGTATCAAACTCTGACTTCATTCTCCATATAGTTATCATTATTTGTCCATTGTGATCCTCTAAGATCCTTTAAGGTCAAGTTGATTGATAAAGCTATGATCTCTCCATCCAAGCTTGGACCAACCTGATTCCGGTGGGGGGGTGCTCCCAAACGGGAAGTAATCTGACAACTGAATACAAATGGCAAGATGTGACCGGTGAGGGATTGTCAAAATGACGTCAAACCCAACAAGCGCAATCCAATCCAGCTCACACTGTGATTTGTGTACCCTCCCTTGAACAAGTGCGTATACGTGGAACATAGGCCCCTGGAGACCATGCTCCACTTATTAAGGGGATTCTCTTCAGCTTCCATAATAATGCCTGAAAGCCTTATCGTAGTCACTTGAAAGTGGCCATCCACCTCACATCCGTTGGACATTTGGCATCCGCTGGGTGACTACCCATTCGTGTGATGTCGGGTCATGCCACCTGCATCACGACCCAAACGAACAGAGCTCCCATGAGGTCACCATCCCATGAGCTCCCTGTCTCGCACCTTCCCATCACATCGGAACCTGGGTCCGACCCAGCGACCGGAGGCTGCCAGAGGCTCGGTTCGGTTCGGAAGCGTTTGGAGGAAAACAAGGACCAACACATGACCTTCCAACTGTGAAAAACACATCAAAACACCATACGTTCCCACCCCCTCCAGGCTACTTTTTTCGCCGGCGCTTGAGCAAAGTCCACTTGGCTAGTCCACCTGGCTGCGCACATCGTCAGGTAAACACCGAGTCGTGCAGCGCCATGTGTAGATCTGTGTTGTCCCCAACATCCCCTACCAGTGAATTACTCGAGCGTCGTATAATTACTCGAGCGTGAATTACTTAGTGTTGTCCCCTCACAATGAATCACTCAAGAATCAGAACATACAGCCTAGAACTCTCGCTTCACCGACGTTTAAGGCTTCAGCAACAGTTGCTGGCAATTGTTGGTACATCCTTGCCTCAAAGGATGCATCCAGACTGATTTGGAGTTAAGTGTCTGTGGATCTTTTTGACATGAACTATAATAGCATATATAATATATATAGCCGTTGTGATTGTGGGGTGCAACTTGGTTCCACGAGCAGTTTGCTGTCATGGCGATAGCTCTGGACTCATGGACCCAACAAACTGATGACATGAGTTGTGCCACAAAGAAGTGGCCACGCCACTTCTACACCTCTCAACCTGTGGGTCAACCCCCCAAACAAGCAGGTCTCTCACTACGAAGCTTCCCTCCCGACCACGGCGTCATCCCACCACTGTCGGCACCTCAAGCAGCGTCCACAGCGTCGACCTCCTCGAAGGTCGTCTGGTAGGGGTCGGCCACGGCCGCCTCACCTGCGCCGTCGCCGGCTCGCGGGCGCGCCGGGCGACGGCTCGCCCCAGCGCCGGCGCGGCGCGCCGGGATCGGTGCGGGGCCCGGTCAGGGATTGGGGGAAGAGCCCAGCCGCCTAGAGGCCATGGCATCAATCGACGACCCAGATGTCTGTATGTCAAGATCTGTGGGCACATCCTCTGTGTCTGTGTTGTCTTTTAAAGTAAGTTCAGCAGTGAGTAGCACATGGATCTGGAAGGTATGGACGTATCTTGGATGTGTTTCGGATGTTGGTGAAGGTCACCGGTCCGGTGTGCAACAGGAATCGATTCTTAAGCAGCAAGTAGCCACGTCAAACGCTGGAACCATGGGCAATGGGGTGAGGTATGTAACCTTCTGTTTACCACAAGAACACCACCAAGCCATTCCACAGTCTAGAGTCTACAGTAGTCGGCTAGATTCGGCCAGTCATGGAGGAAAAAGAACACAGGCAACAAATATATGTAATGTGTGAAACTCCAACCAATGAGTCTTCGTCTTCACACCTTCAAAACAGTCTCTGCTCGGATCGGAACTTCGTCTTCCTTCCGAATCGCCGCCTCCACTGAGCTCGGCATCATCACCTGGTTGGTGCCCCGGAGCGTCTGAAGAGAGGACGGTGTTTCGACGGTCCAGAAGACATGAAGACGGTCGTCTAAAACCTGCAGTTTTCGAGGATAACTAAGGGTTGTGCTATTTTCTACGGAGGTCGAAATTGGAAGTGTTTGGTGGGTCGAAAAACATCACCAGCTCGTTCCAAGGCGAGCACTGCAAAATACTCTTCTCGTGCCTTCCCCACAACACGATCAGCTCGAATTCTCTCCATGACCCTGCCAGGGGTGTCACCACCTTCGCCCATGTGAGATTGATCATGTATGGTGCCGAACGGTGCTCAACCGAACGGTGCTGCGCGTGTTCCAACGCACGGGTGGCTCTGCAGGGGTCCAAAATCAGGACGAGGCTGTCGGTTCTTGGGACAGTCGTTCAACGATGGAAGAGCCTGGAATACCATTCAAACATATTCAAATTCTTATACTATGCCCCCAAGCAGAACCAGTTGAAGATAGTTGAAGGTCTTCCTGAAACCCAACGCCGCAACATTGCACGACTTTGGAGTTGGCTGTATGAACCTCTCCGTTACACCCAAAGTACCTAGCAGCACCGTGCAGCAACCGGTTGGTCCCAGAAATGGATCCTTTGCTCTGGGCTCTGGGGTTTACCTTCACATCACAATGGAATGAGTTTCTGATGGTTTCTGGTTCTTCACCTGTCGGTTTACCTCACAACTCATGCGGCGTCATGCACCCCGTTACTCGGAGTAAGAACCCCCATAAACAGGTAAACCTGTTTGGGGAATCACCTGTCCCACCATGTCACCAACCATGGAGACCCCTCTTCATCTGCCCACCGTTGTTCGCTGCGACCCGGATTCCGCAACCGGATGACCGACCCGGATTTCCATGTACCAGGACCTTCCAACAGGTGGTTTTTGGACACCCCTTAACCACTAAGAGGCTGTTTATAGACACCTCTTGGAAGGTCCTGGTATATAGACGCGTGGGGATTCAATGTATATATCCTGGATCTTCCAACTATGCCAAATGAACTGCCCAACTTGGCTGGTGTTTTGTGGGTGAAAAGGCAGCAATGGGTCACAGTTGGATTATCCTGGTATATAGATGTCAGTCCCACGGATGGTCTAGGTATGAACCGAAATTATCTCACTGAGACCCTGAGACCCCGAGGATTTCTCCCGCAACCAGTGGTTGAACCTCGTTTGTCAGGGTCCATGCTGACTGTGGTTCAACCTCACAACATTTAAAACGATATCAACACGATCATAAGTGGACTGGAATATTTGCCTCTAGATCCCATTTCAACCATCCAACTAACAGGTCGTTACTACGTGCTTGCTATGGCTTTTGCTCATCTGGGGCTCCCCCACCTCCGTGTTCACGCCCCTCCAGGTCGATGGTGACTTCCTTGGTCGCATCCGCATCCGCTGCTGCAACCCGCGCGCGCTTCCTGACAGAGGAGTGGAGCACTGTTGGATCTGCAACGTCAACGGGTCGTCGAACATGTCGGAATTTGAGGTCGCGACTGGCTTTGGTTCTTTAGGTGTGCCTAAACATTTGAAAGCAATTGTTTGAACACACTAATAACCAGTAGACACTCTAAACTATGAGGAGAAGGATCCGGTCATATCTTTAAAAGACCTAGTTTAAGTACTGGACAGTGGTACTGGCCTTTCTTCCACAAAGGATGACCACCAGTGTTTCGGAAATGGAGGACCGGTGCCTTTCAGTGAGATCGCGTGAGATTCACTAAGACTCTATGACACAACCATCAAACAACCCTACAGTAGAAAACATTATAGTGCAGTCTACAAATGTTTACAGCCTTAGGCATGGGCCATTAGCACACTAATTTATAAACTACTGAAGGGCCATGTTCCTCTAAACGGTCCATGTTCCAATGACCTACAGGAACACTCACCCACACCACACCTCCTGGGCCGGCGTCCCTTCCGTCCCTGTCCTCTCGCTGGGGTCGTGCGGGTCAATCGCTCCGCCCTCCGGTCGCCGAGCGACGTGAAGCGACGCAGCTCGGAGCGAGGGCAGAGATGGCCGAGTTGGTCCGTCGATTTGGGGAGCGGACCAACACCAGGCAGGGCGCCTGCCAAACTACTGGTGAAAAAGTTTTTTCGTAAGCATGTCCTGGTGCCAAAGAGATCAGGTTTCCAAACTGAGAGTCGCATATGGAACGAACGTTCGTGGCTTTCCCGAAACCTCGCTGCATCGTCCCTTCCGACCACCCACTCGTCCGCCTCCTTGGCCAAGATTTCGGCAAAGCGCGTCCTTCGCGCCTGCGACGATTGTATTTCGCGTCTCTTCGCGTGCGAAAGACGAGACGCAGCAATTGCCAGGTGCTTGAATCCTGATGTTCAATGGTGGTATAATAGATATTGTGGGAATCGTTTCCTATCTCCTGCAGAATGTCTCCATGATGTCTGCACCAGATGGCAACCAGTTTCTCCACTAGCACAGAATGAAACAATGGCTTGCGCAAGCCTGCAGTTTTGCGCTTTGCATCACCTGAAAACAACATTTTAGGTGGATGCAGGACGAACAGCATTCCGGAAATCCTCACCTTCCTGAGTCCTCTCTTCCAAACACCCAGCGCTGCGCCTTGGGCTTTGCAAAGTGCGGGAAGGACTCCATGCCTGACAGCTGGAGACCCGTTCGGGCAAAGGGAGACCGTTCGGCATGTGAACCAATTCAGCAGCAAGTCTTGAAATAAGGGTAAACCACACACACAAAGGTATGGCTTGGGTCTATCCTAATACCTGTAAGAGTGGATTATGGTTAGTAAGGCCTTGTTCAAAAATAGTAATACCGTAATTGTTTACTGACTGTTACAGGTAATAGGACAGACCCAAGGTATGGCCATATTTCTGGGACATGTCTCCTCTCATCTTCCGTCTTATCCACAAAGCACTTCAAAGAGGTAGATCCCAGGAGAGGGACCATGCATTAACTATATATAATTGATCACATGTATTTATCTGCCAGTGCATACACACAAAATTAGCAGGTGCTGAAGCCACGGCAGGTGAGGAAGAACTCTCTGATGCGTCCTGATCCTGCTCTCGTAGACGGCACAGGCTGTGCTGGGTCCGGTCGAAGGCGGAACTGGATCCTTCAGGATCCTCAGAAAAGGCTCGGGCTCGGGGTGAGGAGTAGCCGTTTTAGGCCTGAAGGCCTTCATCTCGAGCCCCGAAAAGGCTCCACGAAGGAAAAACGAACACCAAGCGGACCAAGCGCCTCGTGGACGCAAGCGCCAAATGGTGACAATGTCCCCATCCTGCCAGAGCGAGATGGAATACCACCACAGATGCGCAGCGTACAAATGACGCCTGATTTGGGGAATGAGATGAACAAATACTGCCACAATACACAGTCTACAAACCTTCCCCCTGACTGCAACTCAATAGCACACCAAAGGCTGGTTCAGTGTATCCAATTGCGAGTTAAGGGCCATGTGTAACCCCGGCACATTAGACCAGGAAACTGAGAGGTTACAAGCTGAAACAAGGAAGTGGAAAACCTCCTGTTTGTAGAAAAACATGGTCATCCAAGGGGCCATTTTCCACGTCCATGATGATTTCAGCAAGTTTGACTCACCAAACTTCTGGCGCGTGCTATCTAATCTCATATAAACATTAATTATAAACTAAAAATCTGCGATTCGACATGGAATTCGAGGACATGTTCCCTCCCAAGAAGCACACCGACCGTATACCAACGTGGCGGCCGCCATCTTGCCTCCAGTCGTCCGGTCGTCCTCTCCGAACCGCGCCTGTCGCTCCGGGTCGCGCACCGTCTGGGTCGCGGCGTCCTTCACATTGAGGCCTTGGACATCGAGGAGGTCGGGAGAGTCGAGTTGAGGTCCACGCGGCGGTCGAGTCGGACGGACCAAGCCATGGGTGTTTTTGAGCGTTTTTCCAGTCTGGTCCATGCCATCCGGGTCTCAAAGACCGGGTGTAGCTTGATGACGTGGCGAAAGATCCTTGCAAATTTCATGTGAAAATGAACCCCTCGACTCGTGGCACAGCAAGGTCAAGAGGATTATAACGATAAGGATTGACTTGGCGACCTCCAGAAATAGGTGAGGTGGAACCCCCCCAAGCTGTGCCTCTACCGTACTGCCAGGGCACAGCTTGGGCGATTGTGTTGAAACCGTCGTTGGAACATATGTCACAAACGGCTTCCCGAAGGTAGAGTATGGAATGAAAAGACTCCATATTAGCACCCATAGCATTCCAAAAGTCACATGGGCTAGTCTTAGAATCAAGAGACAGCCCCTACAAGATATTCATCTGAATTCTCCCCCACCCTTTGCAAACGTTGCAGGAAGAGCAACTTCTGGCATCGAGAAAATATCATATGAATATCATATTACCATAATATTCTATGGATTCATTTATGCACTTCCGCAGTGGTTTTTCCAGACTCCTTCCACCGGCCGGACGACTCCGCACTCTCTGGGCATTCCCCCACGCTTGGCTTTCGCTGCCTCCACGGCGCTTTGCACCTGTGCTGCTAAGCGGTCGGACATGACCGACACACGCAGAGAAGGACCAGGAAGGCTTCGCCGAACACGAGGGTTCTTGGAATCCCTGCGAAAAGGAACTTATCTCGTCATATTTTGTCCCAGATATTCCCGGCAGCCGGAGTGCCACAAGCAAACCAAATGCAATCTTAACAATGTTTGCTTCCCTCTTTTCCTGAATCTCTTTCATTTAGCCAAATCATGCCAAATGAACTTCGTTTGCTCCTCTCTTCCCACATCCTCCACACCCCTCCGCCCGAAGTACGAGCGCCTGGACTCGGGTGCGAGCGGCCGCGAGCGCCTTCTGAGCGCCCTGGGTCCACGAGGAGCCGTCGCGAATCGGTTTTCAGGACCCCCCGCGGCTTGCTGAGCCAAGAAGAACTTCTCGTTGTTGAGTACCAAACAGGGAAGTAGGGATTCAGAAAGGGTGTCACAATTCAAGACTTTTAGGGTGTCGCACCTTTTGTGGTCAAGTCTTGACATGTCTTGACCCTTGTTGTGATTTAAATGTGGGGTGTAAGCAACAAGAGACTCCGAACTAAAACCAGACTCAAGACCTGAAGTTGAAGTCACAGAAATGACACGCAATGATTAGTCGTCGTAGGGACTCCTGACCAATCACCACTGCTCCTTTTGTCGGTTTTCAGGGCCGCCCAATCGTGCTCCCCTCCCGCCTGCATGTTGAAGGTGATGGAGCCAGGCTTGGGCGCTCGTTTGGGGAAGCTCTTGGGCTCCGCCTCCTGCGTTCGCAAACACGGCGACCTCTGGAGGTGATGAGAAAATAGACATCTCCGATGCCGAAAAGGGAAAAACAGGTGCAACTTGGAGATTATATGGGTCACTCCTTCTGTAATCTTGTTGGGACGCGTTCATCTCGTGTGCAATCCCCTACACACTTCCGCAGTGAAGAAGGACACACACACAGAGAAACACTGGATTCTTGGATGATTACTGGGAAAAGAGTCTTCAGAAAAGTGAGACCAGTGCCGCCAACCTAGGTGAGTGTTGGGACCTGAAGTAAACCAGCGGTTTGAAATGCAGCGGTCTGAAGACAAACGGGATAGTTAAAAAATATCCTGAAGTTTCAACAAGTTCTAGATTCAAGCAAGCTTCAAGATCTTCAAGGCCCACAATCAAAAGCACAAGCAGCCACATAAATTTTCACACTGCAAAGCAAGTTTGACGCTGTCACTGCCCCCGGGCACGTTTGTCTATGCCCTTCCCCTAGAAACATCTGGCATATGCTAAGCTGCTAAACGAAAGAAACCGAAGAAACCCCGAAGTCTTGAACGGAACAAGTCAGAAACCAAACGTGCCCATGTCAAAACGGAGCTTTCACCCGAGTCAGACACACCATGGGGCCCAGGGCATGGGCCCACAAAATGGGGCCGTATGGGCCGGGCTTGTTCGGTTTTCGGATGGATCTGTGTCTTCGGTGTGAAGTTGATGGATCTGCACCTCTCCTGCTGGGTGCTTTCTCTAAGGCTATTTCCGATCTCTGGAGGCCGGACCCCCCCCGTCACGCGCGCCTCAGACGCGCCCGCCGCCTCGCCCAAGTGAAGGTTCCAAGCATTTTGGTTCGGGAGATGAACATGAAACATCATGAAACCTTCCAGTGGATGCTGATATAGCTGCTTTTTTGAGCTGGATATAGCAATCCAAAGAAACCCTGGGCTGTGTGATGGACTCAAAAGGGGTTTATTCACTGATGGTTGTTGGAATATGTTGGATTACATTGTGGCTAAATATACAACTAAACTTGACATACAGCGCCACTGTACAAGGAGCTCCGGTATTCCACTACATCGCCAACTGAGTGTACCTAGCCCAAAAACGGATGTTTCTCAAAATGAGAGGTCCCAAGAATGCTCCCGCCACCTGGACCTTTGGCCCCCTTGGCCACGGACCTTCCACGGGGGTGTCCACTGCAGATTTGTAAGTAGCGGTGCGGTATGGGCTTTAATTGGTAACCCCGCAAGGAAGGAATTATAACTTATATATAACTAAAACATCTGAATCGTGGGCATGTCAGGGCGCTCCGGCCTCCCTCGCACGAACTTCAGTCTGTCCGTTGAACGGCTCCGTTTAGTCAACACTTTGTTAATAGTATAGCTATTTGCTCCTATAGTAGAAATGCCAGCGCCCCGTTCGTAGCGTCCTTGCTCTGTTCGTAGCGATGCCGTAGCGTCCTTGCTCCTCCCGCGGTGTTAGATCCGACCTTTTGGGCCAGGGCAGCAAAATTCCGGCCGCGGTGCTGTGAAGGCGGTTTTTGTGAAGAAAACACCCGGATTCATCCGGTGGCACGGTCGTCGTTTTTGCTCGTACCAACCAGGTCGATATGGCAAACCGAGCGATGGAAGCGGCGGAAGTGGACGCCTCTGGCTGGGGATCAGTGGAAGGCTTGGGATTCGGCCTCAGTTCGGTGCAGCCAAGCGAAGCGAAGCGCCTTGAAGGGTCGGATGCTGTGGATGGTTGATGGTTCCTACTACAGATTATACCAGAGTGGCTCTATCTCTCCATGTGGGGGGGTTCATTGATCAACAGTCTACATCCATTTTGTGATCGCTTCTTGCTGGGTGTCACCACAAGAAAGAGAGAGAGAGAGAGGGAGGGCACTCCAGATATGATCCAAGCTTCTGAAACTTAAACATTGGAAATGACAACCTTGGTTGGAGGAATCCTCGTGATAGGATCGATAGCCGTCGCAAGAATATAGAAGCTCCCAATGTAGCTATTCAATTGGTACTGCCCACAGTTCCAAGATGAACACAATTCAATCAAGGTATCTTGATAGGGGATTTAGAGAGTTGTGCTGCAAAGCTGCCTAGCATCCAATGCTTTACTGGTTGTTCCAACACTTCAAAAGTAGCCCCGTGCAACGATCAAACACAACTAAAACAACACTTTCTGATAGGTGATTGGGATCATCTCAAGAAGACAGTCGATTGGCAGAAACATGAAAGTGACAGAAAAATCAATCCACCACCCGTAACTGGTTGCAGCATCACGTAATCCAGCCGTCTTGTTCTTCAAACCCATTGAACACGTCTTCTGCTTCTGTCGCCCCGGCATCGGCACCGGCACGTCGATCTGTGCATCACGCGCCTGACAAACGTTTCAATCAAACCATCCTGTGGGATGGTCCAAGTGTTCAAATCTGTTCAGTTAATAGTAACAAAGGGCATCGCTACGAACGGAGCTACTAGGGGAGCTCCTGGCCTTACTACTAGGGCATCACTACTATTAACCAAAGAACCACCATGGTTGGACCACACTTTCGGCCGAACCTACCCTGCCCAGAGTCCCAGTGCAACGCTGGGGGGGTCGACATGTTTCACAGCTGGAAGAAACACCTGTTGCATGACCAAACCCCAAGTTCTTCTGATTCGCGTCACATCTCTCTGCTTCACTACGACCTGCCAAAGGGCAAAGGACCAACGTACGATCTGAGAAATACTGCGTTACATCGGGTGCTGGAGAGATGGAGGGCTTCACGGAGCCTGGGTGCTATCGATCCAGCGGTTGAAACTCCATGCTACAGGCTGGTCCAGGTATGAATAGAAACAGAGTTGTTTGCTTTTATGTATTGAAAAGTTATAACTTTTTGGAGACTTCTAACCTAAAGGTGCATCCTGCGCCTCTGACCACACAGAAAGGACATCCATAACATCATTCTGCTGCTTGGGTGCCCCCTTGGCTTTGCGCACAAAGAGGACTCAGGGAGTCAGGCAGATCCATTCATTTTTGGGAACAGTGAACCAACTCTTGGGGATCCTACTCCCACACCAAAGGCCAGAGCTCCACTTGCAAAAAACAACCGGTCGGTGGGATCCTTTTTTTTGGCGGAAGGATGCACCCGAACGGTACCAAGAAGCGTCCCCCCCAAAAAAAAATCAAAGAGACTGGCAATGTTCACCACCTGTATCTGTATTTAAGCCTGGTATCTTGAAAAGTTGTCTTTGTATGTTTCGTGTGTCTGGAGTGGATGAATAATTACCTTTCAAAAGTGGACGCGGCCTAAACGGAGTACCTAAAAGCACCTGAGCTCACTCAAAAAGCGCATGCCACCCTCGGCCACTGCGGCCCTCTAGGCCATCCAGGACGACCCACGTCTTTTTCTCTGTCTTTTTTGCGCAAAAGGGGAATCCCGCCCCGGGCCGTCCTGGCAAACGGGTCCGCCGCGGGTCCGGATTGATGGGCTCTGCGGAGATCGGTGAACATGTCCCACAAAGCAATTGGGTATTTGTTCATGCGTGAGGTTTGCAGGGTCTTGCAGCAGACTTGTTCAGGATTCGATGAGACTTGAGGCTTGAGCAAGAGCTTCTCAGTGAGCACCTGGAAGCACCAGTCATCAAAACAAACACAATTTAGTGGATGGCCCATCTTTGATGTCTTGCCCTTTGGATCCTTTGATTTGAGGGGAGAACTCCGCTCATATGCTATGTGACCAAGAATGCCACTGCCACCCCAGCGCTCTGATCGCAACCAGCTTAGCAGTGAATCAGAACAGCGAGCATCATCTGCCACAGTTGAGGTATTCTTGCCCCTGCAATGCGTTGGGGAAGACTCGAATAAACCCACTGGATCTTGTCAGCACAAAGGTTCACCACGCAGCCAATTCCCAGCTTCCTGAGATTGTGCACGTCAGATGCATCACTCAAATCTCCCAGGTACAAAAGCTCTGGGAGAGGGCTAACCTTGCTAACCGATTCCTTGCCCTAGCTCCACACCTGCAATTCACAAAAGCCAAGATCTTCTGCAACTCATGAGCTTTCACCCAGATAGTTCCATTTCTGGGTTGACTTAGCATGTCCCGGGTCGTGCCCGGAGCCTATTAGGAGTGTGTTCAGCCGGGGAGCTGAGGGTCCTATGTGGACCCAAAAAAAAATATGTGCCACTTCGCTCGGCCTTTCTGAGCCCCTCATGGGCTGCGAGCCACGAAAGCGAGTGATACGGTTTTTTGCGGGCTGCACATGTTCAGAAGCGGCCTCTCGGTTTTCGTGCATGAACCCCTGTTTTGTTTGATCCTGGTCGACACATCTTCGCAAAGAACCTCCAGTTCTCCGAGGTGTTTTCACCGTTTTTGGGGTCCACTCCAACGTCTCGTTTCGCTCGGGTCATCCGAGTGGCTGGCTTTGGGGGGGGGGCGTCCGGTGAGGGCCAAGTCCTCCGAACCGGTGCAGCCCGAAGCGTGTGGCCGAACCGGCTCCACATCGACGGACGGGTCCCGACGGGTCGGATTAAATGATGAACTCCGTGGGGTCCGATGAACGCAGCATCTCTTCGATCTCCTTGGTCACAGACCTCGCAGCGAGGTGGGAAACGACTGGAGCTCGGAGGAAGAGGTCTTCCGGATGTGATTGGTTTTGTTGGTGCCTCCACAGTCTGTCACAAGGAGCCACCATCACCAGTAGCCCGGCCCATGGTGAGAAGGGAGAGTTCTTTACTGAGGTCACAGGGTACGGGTTGCCCATCCAAACATCAATCAAAGAGATGACCACTCAAAGTGATGGAACAGTTCGACCACCACCCAATAAGTCACTATAGACCCCAACTTCGTCGTGAGACCGTGACCAGACTGGGATCCCGGGCACCCAAGTTCACGTCAACGCCAGTCAACACCCTGTATAACTGTACAACCATCAAGGTCATGTGGAAGTTCTCGTCTTTTTTTTGCTCACAAGTTGGTGCAAGTCTACGCGCTTGCGCGCGGAGAACCCTCCCCTTCTTTGTCAGGGCCAAAAGCTTCCGTCCAACAGTGCCCCCGCGTCGCCGCCGCGTCGCCGCGGCCGGGTGGCCGGCGCCTCTGCAGCCAGGAGCCGTACTGGCTCGCCACGGTCATTTCCAAACGACTGGTCCTCAACCCGGCGACACCGCACGGTCCTCTTCCACTTCAACCCGGGTCATCGTCGATTTCTGGTGTTCCTGTTCAAAAGGTGCGTCTATACGTATGTGAAGGAAGAAGTTCCAAAACCCACCTGCATACTAGGTTACTGTACATACTAAAGCCAACCCGTCCTCCTTTCCTACTGCCAAAACGGGCCACAGGGAGCTCGCAGTGCAGCGCAGCGTGTTCCAAATTGGTGTGCTTCCCAGGTTTATTTCTTAGCTGAGAGAAGCTAGTAGGAGGAACTCCACACTGATAAGGAAGTATTGGCAATAAATGAACCCTAAATAAATCTAAATAACTATTCTGCAATGGGTGGGTCATTGGCTCCTTCGGCCGTCGGTGCTTTTTGGAGCTTGTGAATCCTACGCGACCAAACGCTTCGCGCGCAGCTCGTGCAGCTTGTGCAGGTGTCATGGAATGGGAGGGGGGGGATTTCTTCACCTTCCCCAACAAAATCACACCCAATTACATCGACACTAGTGTGTTTATTGGGTGGTTTTTCTTCGTCGTGGTGTCTTCCTCACCAAATGGACCCAATCACCACGTGACCAAGTCCAAGTGATTTCCAAGTCACCCAGTGTCACCCCCTTCGGACATCTCTCGACATCTCTCGACCTCGAGGTCGACACACGACATCCGGTCCGGTGGTGCTCCCACGACGCATCGCTCCGATACGTCTCTTGGACCCGTGGCATCTCAGCCGCAAAGTCATTGGGGAAGTAGGAGGGCAGCATGGTCTGGGTCCTCAGAGCTCCAAGAATCGCTGGGTCATTCGGGCAGGAATTCTGCGAAGGGACAGGGTGTGGATGTGGAGATCGATGTGACACGGCGATCTGTCGATCTGTCGGTCTGCTTGAAAGGCAAACACGTGTCGTGATGCAGTGTCTCCAGGTGTTTGGCGGGAACTTGGCGTTTCGGGTGACCGTGGGAGTCAGGAGACGAAGTTCCCAACAACAGCTCCCTAACGACCCCCTTTTGGGAAATAGCTCCCTGATTGGCACATTAGGTTGGAGTTTCCTAGGTATAACTTTGCAGTGATTTCTTTTCAGCTGATCTGGCCAAATGGTACAGTCTCCAGGCTTCACAAAAAATATGAATTCTCCCAGGCCCTCTGTGATGTGTACAGGAAAAAAATTGCCATGTCCCAACATGGAAGGAATCGTCTGATAGATGAAAAACTTGGTTTCTTCCAATTCCATCGGATCGCAGTACAACAAAAATCTGAAAAAATGTTCAAAACACAAACTATTCTCTTCAGTCTTCTTGATTTCGACGACGCCTCATCCTGAACCTCACCAGGCTCCCAAACTGGAGCGACTCGGAGCCTCCGAACGAGTTCTCCAGAGCGACTCGACAGACTCGAGCGACTTGACGCTCCGTCTCGGGCATCGGGACTGGGGAGAGTCTGTAATAATAGAAACATGTCGTCCATGGTCGTCTATAATAGTCTATACTATACCCAGACACTCCATGTATGCGATATATGCCTACATTGGGGTGGTTTTGGGGGTCAATGTAGGCATATATGGCATACATGGAGTGTCTGGGATACATATATACATACTGAGGAATTGGAGAACTGGAGAGAAAAATGGCGACCGAACCCCACGCCTGGCCCCCCACCAGGCCAGCCGACTCCTTTGGCAAGCTCTGACGAAAGGTTTTCGAGGGGAAAATGATGACCCACCTGAGCGCTTTTGGGCCGAGACGCTACGGTCCTGGAGCTTTGGTTGGGTCCTTTGGTTGGGTCGCTTTGAGCGCGAACGCGTGCAGATTGGCGTGATCGCACCTGGTCAAGAACAGAAGTGAAAAAAGATTTCCAGGTGGGGTTCTCCATCGGGAAGATGTACAATAGGTGGACGAGATTTCATGTCTATAGTCAGATACTTGACGACTTTTGTTGCGTTGGTATCTGGCACGCTGAAGCCCCATCTTGGGATGATAGGGGGTCACTTCCTCCCGAATTTCCATAAGCATTTCATCCAAGTGCTACACTCCAAAGCAACAGACCTTCCTGGGAAAGGAACACTGTCTAACCGACCTAGGCGCCATGGCTTCCAACAGGGATCATGTTCGCAGAAATCGCCCCAGCTCGTCCCAGTCTTTTCGGACGAATTCCACGAAGCAAATCCGACGAAGGTCGGTGTTTTCTTCACCGCCCAGTGACACGATGTCCACTTTCCATCCACCTTTGATCGCCAAGTACTCGTTATCCACGACCGTGTAACCTCGGTTGCTACGTTTCGTTACCCAGAAGAACTGGCGCAGCTTCTGAACTTGGATAACATTTAAACAAACATTCTGCAGAAGGGCATGTGGCATTCACCTCGAAAATAGAAAACACATGAAAACACCTTAAGCAAAACCAGGTCAAGCACTGGAGGCAGGGTGATGGGCAGGATGAAGAACCTTGGACTCGCAGTTTGGACAAGAATGTCACGACTGGCATGGCCTTTGGGGTACTTTGCAAAGTCAGTGAATTCCCTTGAAAAAACAGCGACAGACGGGTGAGGGTCTTGGAGTCTTGGAGTGACGACAGGTGTGACCCGAGCTCCCAAGTATCATTGCTGCTCCAGCAGAAATGTCAAACAGTGCCGGTGATCATGGTCCCTCCCAGGCTTTGGCAAGTTTCTATATCTTCATCTTGAAAGCAATAGCAGAACTTGGGATAGCTTCCACCAAGTTGTCAGTGACCTACGCCTTCTGCAATCCCATATATAGTCAGTCAGAGGTGCTAGAAATAAAGGCCTTTGAGTATCCGCCGCTTCTAAGTGCTTGCTGATGCCACACAGTGCTTGTCTGAAGAATTCAAGAACCTCAAGAACGTTCCACGTTACCATCTGGTTTTGTATCACCCTACCACAGATTGGATCGACCGTATACGCGCCACGGATCACTGGTGCGAGTAACGTCCACGGATCACGGCAGACTCGTTGCGCTGGAGCGCCTTGCGTCAATTGGAGCTTCACTACAAATCCTCATCCGGTAGTGACCGGGTACCCAATGGGTACCCATAGTTCTCACAATAACAAGGCTAAATCAGTTGAGTTTCCAGGGCCAGACTGTTAAAATTACATCGGTTGCCGAGAGGGTTGTGAACCACAGGGAGCCCAGTCTTCCATTCAACACTTTTTGGTTGGTGCAAATTATGCATAAGCTCCACACTCCGCTCTTCAATTCTGAGCTAGTCGGAGAACTCAATCTGGCACTATGAACAGGGTGAGCGTCCCAGCATCTGAAAGTGCGGCTTCCAATGTTATATGCCCTCTTACAGCATTATGGCATTATGCCAACAGTTTTGACATGCTCTGACCCATGCACATGAGACTCAATGCAAAAGCCTCAATAGAGGGCCTTCTGCCATAAAACCTAACCCAACCGCAAAAAGATTGACATTTCATGACATATCATTCGAAGTGTCCCTGGAATTGTCCCGGAAGTGGATGACATTTTCCACCGGGAAAGATCATGTTCCATCCTCATACCCAAACAGCTGGTGAACTCCACACGTTCCACGTCCGCCGAGCGGCGCTCTGCACTTGAGACCAAAAGGTGGGAAACCTGGGTGTCGAGCGAAGGGCGCGCCGTCTGCGGAAGTCGAAGCTCCTTAGCTTCCTCTGCGTCCTCTGCGGAAGTCGAAGGCATCCTTTTTGGGTGATCGATCTATCGTCTATTTGGAGGGAAGACCTATAAATCCACAGACTGAGAAGGGTGGGACCGGGGATGCGGGGCCAGTGTGTCTTGGTCGCACCGTCTTTTGCGCGTTGGATCCACAGGAGGATGCGGAGGATGACTGTGAGTCAATGGTTTTTGCCACCGCCAAAGCGTATTGCACACACCATCCAAAGTGTTGTGAGACTCTGATGAGGTGTTTATAACTCTATAGAGAAAGGATTACATCCTTAAGCAGCTTGGCAGCTTGTGCCTTCTCTCTGGGACCTTGACACAACACAATAAATACCAACCAGGTCGACATCATGTGTGGCCTCTACACTCAGAACGATCCTTTTGAAAGCCCCTCACAGAGTTGATGACGGAAAGCGCTGTAGCGCTTGGAAGTATTACCGAAAGGGAAGGGGGGGGGGGGGGGGGGGGCCAAGCTGATTTGCAGACCGTGCGGGCTTTTTTTGGCATGTTCGAAGGTCCATAAAACACTGTAATTTACAGTAAAAAGTGGCTTTGGATGGGTTTGTGTTGAGCTTATTTACCTTCAAAAAGTTGCATTTTACCTGCACGGGAGGCAATTTTTGAGGTTTATCTTGTTATCTCGCATTCGAAGGCTTTGAAGTGCAATGTGCATAAAACACTGTAAAAATCATGAAAAAATGAGGTCCCACAAGTGTAAGGAAGGTGTTTTTGAGAGCTTATTTTTATCCTTTGTTTGCGTATGAAAGCTTGCTCCTGACCAGCACACCCATGATGTCAATACTGCAGTCTTCCCCAGAGAACATAACCAGCATCGCAAAGGTTTGGACAAGTGCAAGAAATGTGTTTGTGAGAGCTTTATTGCTTATCAAAACTTGCCCCAGTTGGTGGTCAAATTTAGGGCATGTTTGTGCAAATCTTCGGCGATCTTCAGGCATTCCTGGGGCATATCCTTCTCCATCTTGGCGCGTTTCGCCCAATGTTGGGGCTCTCTTTGAGCCTTCTCGTGGAGGTATGTTGCAAGTGATTGGGGCCATGGGGCCTAGATCAGGGCTATGTTGAAGGCTTTGCTGCTGTTATGTCACTTGTTTTGCAGACATGCTGGTCCACTTGGCTGCTTTTTTCTTTGCCGATTGACTTGGGCAGGTGGTCTTTCGCGTAGTGCGTGTAAAACACAAAAGCACGTGAAAAATGAGGTCCGACAAGTGTAAGAAAGGGCTTGACAGTT